TGTGTATAAGAGACAGGTTTAAATACAACCGGTCAGATGTAAGACGAAACAAGCATGATATTTAGGTAAGTCATGTAGGCTATATTGAGGTCAAGAATACTATGGTAAGTCACGTAGGAATTAGAATGAATTATAAAGAGAGAGTAATATTTTTTATTATTTTTATTTATTTGTTCTTTATACTGGGTTTCCTCTTTAGTAACAAATTACTGTTCTCCCAGAGGGCCCAGTTCACATAAAACAGTCCACGACAGGGGCCGGGTGAACCAGTACACCGGGGTAAACCCCCTACTCATTTCGGAGGATGTACTGGGTTCTTTAAAGTGCACATGAGCATTTGTGTACACTGGGCCTACGGTTTATAGTCCTTATCCGAGAAGACTTGTTCCACCACCAGAACCATAGGAGCGAGCCGGCCGCGAACCTATGCCGATATTGTTGGCTATGATCACGGTGCCCCTGCCTTAACCGCTCGGCCATTTGGCTCGCTCATACAACTTCAGTCTGACACATAGTCGAACCCCATCTTTTAGACACCCCTATTCAGGCGTATAGCAGGGGTTGAAATAAAGCAGAATAAGAGTAAAGTTTTTGGCAGAGTTGGTTAAGACGCACAGCGTCCACACTACGTTTACTTTATTTTGAATACAAATTAATAATAATTGAATACATAGACATCACCACCCGTGGCCCGTTACTACGCCACTGTATGGGGACAATGGTGTTCCTACATACCTGCTTTTATTAGATAAAGGTTATTTTGGTGTGACATACACCACAAATTCACCAACAGTCTTAAAGATAAAAAAACCTTTTTGAATTGAAGCGTCACACACGGCCGTCGGGCCTTTGATTGGGGACCCGGGAAAGGGGGCCGCAAATAACCACAGATTGTATTCGGAAAAATTCATCTTACGAAGTGCTTCCTTATTTTTTTACCCCTTATCTCCTATAGTGATCCCATATTCTAGATAAGGCACCCAATCATTGTTTTGAATATTCTGCCATTAAAACCAGTTATCGAAGGATTATGCTTAAAAATATTAAAAGGCGCTATAAAAAAAATACATTTTACACAGGAGCCTAATACTCTGTAATACTCTGAAAAGCAAACAGCCGCATGTCTGTTTAGTAATTCAGAGTCTAACGTTAAAAAGCACGATTAAACAATAACTATGTTCATTGTAATAAATCTCTATAATTATTCCAATTCCCTTAAAAT